TGTTATTGCACAAATTGAAAAAGAGAATATATAGATTTAATTTATTACAAAATAAATGGAGAGGGGACTGGAATGTAATCCTGTGCAGAAATTACATTTCATGGCAAAGTTAATAAAAATCAATGTTAAGCCAAAATTAATATGAATACACTGTTCCAGTATATTACAATAAATAAATTTAATGTTACAATTTTTACAGAAATTAATTCTTAAATCTTTTCAGAAACGAATACTAAATTCACACTTTATACCAAATTAATCCAGCACTAGAACTGTGCATAATATGCAGAAGCAATGAGAGATATTGTAGAAGTATAGTAAAATACAATTTGGTAGTAATGCCAAGCTTGAAGGCTATAAGCCACATCTTAAAAGTTTATAAGACTATATCCTTCTTCATATCCTCTTACCTCCAATCTGAAAATAAAGGTTTGTTAAACAAACAAACAGCTGTTGATGAGCTTCTTTGCATGAGATAGGCTTCCTCCTATTCCTAGTTAACAGAGCTAAGGCAAGCTTTGGATTTTTCTAATCTAATGTGGAAGCACTATTTCCCATCTTTTCCTATACAAGCCTAAATGTGATATTTTGGTGATGACTCTTATGATGCTGTGGACGATTTGAAATTTGCCTACATTCTGCAAGCATGTTGCTTTCTATCCAGTCGTTGTGTTTTTCCCTCCATGGCTGATTTTGTTTTGTGCTGCTAGAGTGACATGACTTGAAGAGAGAAGTAGCAGCAGTAACACTAATCGAGTAAAGAAGTAATCTGAATGTAAGCACTTTCTGTAGCTCATTGATGCTGCTACAGGTTCTAGCTTATCACATTCTCTGGTGGTGTTGAAAGAGATCCGGGGATTTCTAAAACAAAGCACAATATTTCTGACATGTGGCTGAAGCTGTCTGTCCATCCTGCCTCCTCACCTAGTCTCAGCATACACAGTGGAATTTAAGAGTCGGTTGTGTTAATTGATGATTGGGAAATCTGTTAATCTCTGCACCTTAAGATGACCCACAATAAGGTGGATAGGATAGTGCCACATTTTGGCCTCATGATTAAGTGTAGACTAGCTACATAGATAAAACAATGTGTGCTTAGATTGTGTCACCCTACAGTCTGGACTAAATCATATCTAACTAGCTGTCTGGAAACAAGATTTCCACATGTGTATATATAACCTTCCCATGATACATTATAAACTGCTCTTCAGTGTGCTCCCATTAAATGATAAGTTGTGCTATTCAAAAGAAATACAAAACAACTTCTTCACGAAGACAAGATAACAAATGTGCAATTATTTGAATCTTCTTT